ACAATACAATACCACTACTAATCATACTACTAATAATAATACTACAGTATCATGGTGTAGAACAATATAGTAATATATAATACTAATATTGTGCTATGGTAATACTATTATAGTACTATATAATAACTATATAGTACTATATTCACCAGAGTGAAGACAGATGCAACTGTCTTTCAGGCTGCATAGGTCAACAGCAAGCTAGACTATTAAAGGTCCACTTGTGACACTGATTGAGTACTTCCTCATTCTTCTGCACACCACTGGAAGGTTTTATGGCATTGTAAATTAGTTAAATTACCCTCCTCACATAAAGTGGTACCTAAATTTCCTACTTGACAGATACAACTGTCTTCCAGACTGCAGAGGTCAACAGCAAGCTAGGCTATTAATGGTTGGGAGCTCACTCCGACCCAGGCTGGCTTCGAACGGATGACCTCTCAGTCAATAGCGATTTAATGCAGCTGCCTACTAACTAGCTGAGTCACAGCCTTATCCCAACTAGAACAACGTCTCCACTAGGCATGGTTCTAAATGGTTCTTAAGTACTTACAAAACTAAAATTCTGGTGGTGAAAACTAGGGGGCACTGGTGTTTTGCTTCTACAGTGTTGCTAAAGTTCTGGTGATCAAAATTTCAGAACTCTTTCAAAATTTGTTAAATTTGTACATCCAAAGCGATATTTCATTATTATTTCGGAAAAAATTCATTATTATTTTGTTAAGAGTTCTGAAATTTTCATCACTGGAACTTTAGCAACACTGTAGAAGCAAAAAAACCAGCGCCCCCTAGTTTTCACCACCAGAAATTTAGTTTTGTAAGTACTTTAGAACCATGGATTGCACATGCCTAGTTTCCACACTCTGGACGTCCAACGGGGCCTTCTGTCAAACAGAAAGGCTGGAGTCGTCTACGAAGTCAGTCCAAACGTGGCGTAGGCGTCGTCGTGAATCCAATCTTGTCGTGAAGGCAACAAACTCGATAATCCAGTCCAGGTCTTACACAGAGCCAAAACAAAGAACAGCAGCACAGCAGCTAATGCATAAGATCAACACAAAGGCAGTCCAGAGAAAACCCCACAGTTCCAACCCCGCAGCCAATTATAATCTGGATTAAACTTACGTCCACAGAAGTTTTCCCAAACATGTCTTCTCAAACAGCTCTCACACGAATACCCATCAACACTTTGCCGACTGCAAGAAACCCCATCTCCCAACCCCACTTTTATTCACAAATCATCCTCTGAACTGGAATCAGCCAACACCCTGTTACCAGCTGAAACTCCTACCCCAATTCCTCCTCAGAACTGGAATCAGACAATGCCTCACCAGACCTCCTTTTAACTGAAGCCCTTTGCTGATCCCTCCAGTCTCTCCATCCATACCCATAACTCCCTAGGACTCAGCCGGAGTCCCACTGTGCCAACCAGAGAACCCCACAAACGTGTCGCTACTTGTGGGCTCTTCACAAATGTTCTGGACCTCCTGCACCTTAGTCCAGTCCATTTCTCCATCCTCTGAACTCGTCTCAGTTTCAGACCCATTATTCCCTGCGAAGCCCTCAAATGATTAATCATCACTGGATTCCATAAGTATTTCCCTGATCTGCTTTCTCTGTTGCTCCTCATCGGAGTCTTGCTCACAAGTAGTCTTTCTTCCCCTCCTAATACTCCCAGTAGTATCACTACTCAAAGACTCCATCACAACACCAGTCCTTTGCTTTGCTTGTTTGCCGTAAAAATCAAACCAACTTTGGGAGGGAGCCTTCCGGGATTTACAAAATACAAACAAAAATATATGGGGTAAGCTTCGATTATAAAGTTTTTGGCTCACGTGCTGGATATCGCTTTGGACGTACAGATTTAACAAATTTCCTTACGACTTACAAAACTTCCGAAAATTTCGCACATTCTCTCTAAGGAAGAAGCAGGGTTTGCACAGTTTGCACTTAGACTTGGCATGGAGGAGGAGGGACCCGGCAGCAGGGATTAACTGCCTCGCTGGGCTGCTGCCCTCGCCAATTTTCTGGTCAGTAACTTCTTGAAACGGAGAGCGTGTCTGCTGCGGTGGGAGGGAAAGAAAGAGACAGGCGGGGAGAGGGAAGAAGAGGAAACCTCAACGCTTTCCAGGAAGTCGCGTTTTCCAACCCAATGATGGGCATCTAGAAAAGGTGAAGTGAAGCATTGTGGACTGATGTGGGGAGACCATGTTTGGTTCCCTGTCACGGGAGACATGGCGTTGTTGCTCGTAGAAGCATGTTGGGTCTGGTCACTCACGGCTATAAACTTGGGTACTAGGGCTGGGCGGTTTCGTTTCGTAATTTCGTAATTCGTTAAAAATTCGTTATTTTTTTTATAACGAAGCGATAACGAACCATTCAGGAGCAACTAAAAAATGAAATGAATTTTTAAATTCGTTTCGTAATTGTTTCGAATTTGTTATGTATTCGTTTCGTTATCGTTTTGAAATCGTTTCGTTATTATTTCCGCATGTCTGGGGCAAGTTTTGTAGTTGTTTGTTTAATCAGTGAAAACAATTTATAAATATCACACCAACAGTCAACAACAGAGGGAGAGGGAAGCTTCAGAAGTTCCCCCTGTCCCATTTGGAGGTATTTTAGCGTATTGCGCGGTCGCATCCGCCATTAACGAATTGATTCGTAATTGTTTCGTAATTGTTTCGTATTGTTTTGTAATTTGCGAAATTTCGTAAATATCGAACTTTTTAAAAGAAAAATTTCGGAATTCTTTTAAAAATCGAAACGCAAAAACCCCCAAAAAACGAATTGATTTTAGAAACAAATTTTTCCGTGGTTGGACAGCCCTATTGGGTACACTTTTGTGTACATGGTGATATACAACCTGATCAACTTCTATGCATAATGTGGGGCATTGTTGTTGATGTGTGCCTTTGTTTCCGAGCTATGATGGTTGATTTTAAGAAAGGAAATAACATGATATCTATCTATCTATCCCTCTAACTATCTATTAGGGTTGGATAGGTTCACTCGGAAATAACAGAAACTCGGAAAAAAAATGTACGAATTTGGACATCCGAATTGGGTTTTGAACCATGTAGGAAAGGAGAATCCGAATTTGAACCACTTTTTTCGGAAATATTCTATAATGTTCGGATGTCTCCCAATGTTATTTTAATTTTCACAACAATTAAAGTTTGGTAAAGGGAAGGGAGTTTTTAAAATCTCAGTCTTTCTGCCAGCGCTGCAAGAAGGGAAGCGGTGGGCGTGGCTAATCACAGCCATCATAACTGTAGTTTGTGAAGGCCATGACCCCAATGGTAGAGATTGCAAAAGGTCTTGCTGTTAAACTACATTTCCCACAATGCACGCCTGCTCATTAGCCAAAATGGCTGAAGGACCCAAAAATAGCTGTCTGTAACAGTCTTCGTCTAAATCTATCTATCTATCTATCTATCTATCTATCTCTACCTACCTACCTACCTATCTGTATCTATCATCTATCATTATATCTATCGCAGTGGTTCCCAACCTGTGGTCTGTGGACCACTAGTGGTCTGCAAGAACTAAAATATGGTCCGTGGCCTCACCATTACTATACCATTGCAACAAGAGCGATCAGTCTTGCCAAGTCCTCTTATAGTGCCGAGACTTATTAAACATGGCGACTACTGGATGGCATATGTTCTGTATCGGAAACTAGAGCTGATGTGGTCTATCCAATGCAATTTTCTGAATCAGCACCCCCAAATAACCAGACCAAATCTCAAGTTGATCAAAAACTGATTCGTAACCCTTTTGGTACTAATGTTGGAGAGTGGTCCCTAGTCAAAGTGGTCCCTGGTCAAAGTAGTCCCTGGTCAAAGTGGTCCCTGGTTAAGTGGTCCCTAGTCAAGTGGTCCTTGGTCAAGTGGTCCCTGGTCAAGTGGTTCCTGGTCAAAGTAGTCCCTGGTCAAGTGGTCCCTGGTCAAAGTAGTCTCTGGTCAAGTGATCCCTAGTCAAATGGTCCCTGATTAAGTGGTCCCTGGTCAAAGTAGTCCCTGGTCAAAGTGGTTCCTGGTCAAAGTAGTCCCTGGTCAAAATGGTCCCTGGTCAAAGTAGTCCCTGGTCAAAGTGGTTCCTGGTCAAAGTAGTCCCTGGTCAAAATGGTCCCTGGTCAAGTGGTTCCTGGTAAAACCGGTCCCTGGTCAAAGTGGTCCCTGGTGAAGTGGTCCTTGGTGAAGTGGTCCCTGGTTAAGTGGTCCCTGGTCAAATGATCCCTGGTCAAGTGGTTCCTGATCAAAGTGGTCCCTGGTCAAGTGGTCCCTGGTCAAGTGGTCCCTGGTCAAGTGGTCCCTGGTCAAGTGGTCCCTGGTCAAGTGGTCCTTGGTCAAGTGGTCCTTGGTCAAGTAGTCCTTGGTCAAGTGGTTCCTGGTCAAAGTAGTCCCTGGTCAAGTGGTCCCTGGTCAAAGTAGTCCCTGGTCATGTGGTCCCTGGTGAAGTGGTCCCTGGTCAAGTGGTCCTTGGTCAAGGGGTAACTGGTCAAGTGGTTCCTGGTCAAAGTAGTCCCTGGTCAAGTGGTTCCTGGTCAAAGTAGTCCCTGGTCAAGTAGTCCTTGGTCAAGTGGTCCCTGGTCAAGTGGTCCTTGGTCAAGTGGTCCTTGGTCAAGTAGTCTTTGGTCAAGTGGTCCCTGGTCGAGTGGTTCCTGGTCAAGGGGTCACTGGTCAAGAACCATCAGGAAAGTCAAATTACCCTGCATGACATTGAGAGAAGGATAGAAAAGGGGATGAGAAGAAAATGAAGAAGGAAAGAGGGAAGGAAGGAAAAGAAAAGGGGGAAAGATACAAAAGAAGGGAAAGAGAAAGAAAGGACCAAAACAGGAGGTCTTGCGTTGTTGAAGGGCGTTATTAGGATAATAGTCCGCTTGCGTTGATAACTGCGTAAATTTCTTCTGCGTTGCCTTGGCTGGGAAACCAATCCAATATTCTACTGATGTGCAAATATCCCAAACCACCCCCATAAATGTCCTGCCAACCCTTTCTTTGCAGATCATCCTCTGGGGCCGAACAGAGAAGTGCTTGAAGGAAGCCGCCGAAGAGATCCAAGCCATGGGCACCGAGTGCCATTACTTCGTCTGTGACGTGGGGAACCGGGAAGAGGTCTACCAGCAGGCCAAAGCGGTCCGTGAGAAGGTATGTCGGGGCCTCTTCCCTGGAGGGAGGCTGGAGCTCTGGATTTGAGCCTGCCACTTTTGGACTCTTGCTTGCTGAGGTGTTCCAGCGAGTGTCTCTGTAGATCTTAGAAAACTATTTCTTGATTTAAGTCGTTGACGTGTTGGCTGATGCCCAAACAAGGGATGAGCTGGAGATGTCTCTGCCTTGGTCCTTTCACTATTGGCTGCTACTTCCCAGCAGATGTCAGGTGGTGCGATACCGGCTAAGCAGTGTAATTTCTCCAGTGGTGTAGGGCACAGACACCCTGTGATAATGCGCCATGTCTCATTAAGAGCCACATCCACTGTTTTAGCGTGGTGAGATGTGTTCCACACTGGGCATGCATACTCAGCAGCAGAGTAGCATAGCACAAGGGCAGATGTCTTCACTGTGTCTGGTTGTGATCCCCAGGTTGTGCCAGTCAGCTTTCGTATGATATTGTTTCTAGCACCCACTTTTTGCTTGATATTCAGGCAGTGCTTCTTGTAGGTCAGAGCACGGTCCAGAGTGACTCCCAGGTATTTGGGTGTGCTGCAATCCTCCAGTGGGATTCCTTCCCAGGTGATCCTCAGAGCTCGGGATACTTGTTTGTTCTTGAAATGAAAAGCACGTGTCTGTGTTATAGATGGATTAGGGATCAGCTGGTTTTCCCTGTAATAGGCAGTAAGAACACCTAGATCTTCGGAGAGTTTTTGTTCAACCATCTCAAAGCTCCCTGCTTGAGCAGTAATGGCACGATCATCAGCATAGATGAAACTCGCTGTCCCTTCTGGCAGTGGCTGGTCATTTGTGGAAATGTTGAACATGGATGGAGCAAGCACGCTCCCCTGAGGCAGGCCGTTCTTCTGTTTCCGCCATCTGCTTCTCTAGCCCTGGAACTCAACAAAAAAGCTCCTGTTTTGTAGCAGGTTTCCTATGAGGCGGGGTGAGGTGGTCGTCCTTTGTGATATTATACATTTTTCTCAGGAGGAGGCAGTGGTGGTTCACAGTATCATAGGCTGCTGACAGGTCTATGAAGACAGCTCCTGTTATCTGCTGCCTTTCAAAGCCATCGTCTATGTGCTGAGTCAGGTTCAGCACTTGCGATGTGCAGCTTTTGCCTTTCCTGAAGCCAGCTTGCTGTGGGAATCAGACATGGGTCTATTTTTTCCATAATTCTATGCAAATAAGTCTCTCCAGAACTTTGTAGAGGTGGCACAGCAGGGAGATTGGTCTATAGCAGTGTTTCTCAACCTGGGGGTCGGGACCCCTGGGGGGGTCGCAAGGGGGTTTCAGAGGGGTCACTGAAAATCATCAGAAAACATATTTCTGATGGTCTTAGGAACCCCCTTGGCATAGTTGTTTGGGTTCACAGTGCTCTCCAAATGTAGGTCAATTCATCCCAAATCCATCCAGTATTTTCTGTTAGTTATGGGGATTCTGTATGGGAAGTTTGGCCCAATTATATCGTTGGTGGGGTTGGAAGGCTCTTTGATTGTAGGTGAACAATAAATTACAACAACTATAACTCCCAAATGTCAAGGTCTATTTTCCCCAAGCTCTACCAGTGTTCACATTTCGGCATATTGAGTACTCATGTCAAGTTTGGTCCAGATCCATCATTGTTTGAGTCCACAGTGCTCTCTGGAGGTAGGTGAACTACAACTCCCAAACTCAAGGTCAATACCCACCCTTTCAGTATTTTCTGTTGGCCATGGGAGTTCTGTGTGCCAAGTTTGGATCAACTCCATCGTTAGTGGAGTTCAGATTGCATCCCAGTAACTACATCCCAGTAACTACAACTCCCAAATGTCAAGGTATATTTTTCCCAGGCAGTATTCACATTTGGGCATATTGAGTATTCATGCCAAGTTAGTCCACATCCATCATTGTTCAAGTRGACAATGCTCTCTGGATGTAGGTGAACTACAACTCCCAAATGACAAAATGACTCCCCCTTCCCCGATCCCATCAGTATTCAGATTTGGGCATATTGGGTATTTGTGTCAGATTTGGTCCAGTGAATGAAAATACATCCTACATATCAGGCATTTACATGACAGGAGCAAAATGACTGCTATGAAGTAGCAACGAAAATAATGTTATGTTTGGGGGTCACCACAACATGCGGAACTGTATTAAGGGGTAGCGACATTAGGAAGGTTGAGAACCACTGGTCTATAGCTTTTTGGGTCATTACGGTCTTTCCCTTAGGTATTGGATCATGATATCTCTTGTTCTTGCAAAAAATCAGTCATCAGATAGTCACATACAACATAGGCAGATATTCACACTGAGTCACACAGGAGAGTGAAAGATGGATACGTTCATTTTCTTTATATAGCCACTGGCTAACAGGACATCAGTAAGGGACACTGGCCAATCCAACCCCTTTGTAATAACTCTCACACTAACACATTCCCTTATGTATTGCATTATCACATTCACAGTCACTACCTATCAATATTCCACATGTCCATCAAAAAGCATTTTTTCCATGACTAGAAATGTGTCATTTCAATCTAACATGAGTCCCCTGCTTTCTGCCTCATCCCAGGTGGGAGACATCACCATCCTTGTGAACAACGCAGCCGTCGTTCACGGCAAGAGCCTCATGGACAGCGACGACGACGCTTTGCTGAAGTCACAGCACATCAACACGTTGGGACAGTTCTGGGTATGAAGACATCCGGCCTCCGCCTCCCAGTTCACGCAACATTTCCCTACTTTTCCCCTAGCTTACCTTTTCCAACAAGGAAGACCAGTCAGATCTTGTGCCTACAAGGAAGACCCTACGAAATGCACAAGGTCACCATAAATCCATAGGTGACTACTTGTGGATTTATGGTGACCTCATGCATTTTGTAGGATCTTCCTTGAACAAGGAAGACTCAAGGGTGGTCTTGCCAATTGGGCCTATAGTATCTTGGATGCATTGGTGGTCCTTGTAGGCTTCCAAAAATGGTGATCGTTTTGGACCATGATCATGATGTGTCCAAAGTATGATAGTCTCAGTTTAGCATGATGTGAGCATGGGCCCACAGACCTGGAGACCTTAATTTGGACCCATCCTTTCTGTTGAGGCCTAATTTGAGGAGGAAGAAGGCCATCCTTTGGTAGGGCCTTGTGCTCCTGAATTGGAGCCCATCACTTCTGTAGTGCCTCAGGGAGCAAGTAGTTCTTTCCTGGATGATGGGCATGGTTTTACAGACAGATCTGCTTTTTAGTGAGGATGTTTCCCATGAAACGTTGCCAGAGGCTCTTCTTCCAGAGGCTCTCCCTGACCCTGGGAAAGATATATATCTTGTAAGCCACTCTGAGTCCCCTTCGAGGTGAAAAAGGTGGCATATAAATGTCGTAAATAAATAAAATAATAAATGTGAAGGAGGTGGAAGATGCTAGATTATTGCCCATAACTCATTGTATTCCGTTACGGTGACATAGTGCCAAGTAGAGGTAATTAATAGGCTTGGGCGGTTTCGTTCGTTAATTTCGTAATTCGTTATTAATTCGTATTTAAATTAGCTTACGATCCAATATTGAGCCATGCAGGAATAGTGTGAGGAGTAAATTAGATTCGAAACAATTTTTTCAATTTATTTCGTAATTATTTCGTTATTATTTCGAAATTATTTCGTAATTATTTTCGCATGTCTGGTGCAAGTTTTATAGTTGTTGTTTGTTTTATCACACCAACGGTCAACAACAGAGGGAGAGGGAAGCTTCAGAAGTTCCTCCTGTCCCATTTGGAGGGTTTTTTAGCATATTGCGCAATCTCGTCCGCCATTAACGAATCGATTCGTAATTTTACAAAATTTCGTAAATTTCAAAAAATTTTAAAGGTAAATTTCGGAATTATTTTAAAAAACGAAACGCAAGGGCCCCCTAAAAACAAAACGAGTTTAGAACCAAATTTTTCCATGGTTACCCAAGCCTAGTAATTAAGGTTTTCCCAGTGTTTGAAAGATAAACAGAGGGATTCCGGGTGTTAGTATTTCATTTGGATACCATTCTTGGTCTAAGTTTTGTAGATTTTGGCTTCACTGTCAGTGCAGAACTTTATTTATTGCTTGTTCAAGAATACTCTGACAGTAGCTTATATTTTGGAATGAGTTTTGGAGCCTATAGTTTGGATGTACTTTCACTTTTCGCCTTTTACGTATACCTTAGGAATACTTTTGTACTTTTTACCTCGGAATGTATTTTTGAACTAGGTTTTTTTTAATGTAGAACACTCTTTTCTTTAATAAACTTTTAATTAGTTGATTGATTCCTGTTAGCTGAAATATAGTTGGGCTAATTAATAGGCTTGGGTAACCACGGAAAAATTTGGTTCTAAACTCGTTTTGTTTTTAGGGGGCCCTTGCGTTTCGTTTTTTTTAATAATTCCGAAATTTTCCTTTAAAAAATTTCGAAATTTACAAAATTTCGTAAAATTACGAATCGATTCGTTAATGGCGGACAAGATTGCGCAATATGCTAAAAAAAACCTCCAAATGGGACAGGAGGAACTTCTGAAGCTTCCCTCTCCCTCTGTTGTTGACTGTTGGTGTGATAAAACAAACAACAACTATAAAACTTGCACCAGACATGCGAAAATAATTACGAAATAATTACGAAATAATTACGAAATAAATTGAAAAAATTGTTTCGAATCTTAATTACTCCTCACACTATTCCTGCATGGCTCAATATTGGATCATAAGCAAATTTAAATACGAATTAATAACGAATTACGAAATTAACAAACGAAACCGCCCAAGCCTACTAATTAACTCTTAATTTTGGGTGAAAAGCAGAAATTGTACTAGGCTTAAATTGCCTTGAACAGGCAGGCTTATTAAATATATATTGCTATTGTGATTTTTATGCTTATATTGTTTTGTTAATTTTATGCTTATGTTGTTTACTCTGTATGTATTGATGATGTCACTTGGAAACCGCTCTGAGTCCCCTCGGGGAGATAGAGCGGTATATAAATAAAGTTTTGTTTTTGTTGTTGTTGTTGGGCTGCAGTACTTTCATGGAAAGCCATAAAGTGACTACAGTGTTCCCTCACTTATCCTGGGTGTTAAGTTCCAGGACCACCCGCGATAAGTGAAAATCCACGAAGTAGGGATGCTCCTCTTTCCCCTCCTCCTCCTCCTCTTCCCCCGTCCTCCTTCCCTGCTCATGAAGGGAAGGAAGGAAGGAAGCCCTCCTCCTCTTTACCCTCCTCCTTACCCGTGAAACACCGAGTCTGCGGAAAGCGAAACACGAAGTAGCGAGGGAACACTGTATTCTTTCAGCCTCGGCCTCTGAACATGCCAAGGAAATAAACAAGTCGAAAGCCAACCACAAAGTCCTGGTTTCTCATGGGGGTTAAGCCTGCTAGATCTCACCCACGTTCCTTGCTGTCTCCCGACCCGCAGACGACAAAGGCCTTCCTGCCGCGGATGCTGGAGCTCCAGAACGGGCACATCGTTTGCCTCAACTCCGTCCTGGCTTTGTCCGCCATCCCCGGAGCCATCGACTATTGCACTTCCAAAGCCTCCTCCTTCGCCTTCATGGAGAGCTTGACGCTGGGGCTGCTGGACTGCCCTGGAGTGAATGCCACCACCGTCCTGCCCTTCCACACCAGCACGGAGATGTTCCAAGGGATGCAGATCAGGTCAGAACCAACACGGGGGACGCCACGCATACTAGGAGATCAGACTTTTCTGTGTTCAAGCTCAGTGAAGGGGGTTGAGGGAGATCTTCCAATCCGTCCTGGGCGGGAAATGTCCTTTGAGAACTTGCGCTTCATCTCTCTTTCAGGGGCTGTGTTTCTCTTTCAGGTTCCCCAACCTCTTCCCCCCTTTAAAGCCAGAGACGGTGGCCCAAAGGACGGTGGAAGCAGTTCGACAGAACCAAGCGTTCCTTCTCCTTCCGTGGACGATGCACATTCTCATCATCTTGAAAAGGTAGGTTTTGGTAGTCTGCTCCTAGTCTTTATAATCTCCCCTTCATGCCTAAAGGTGAAGGAATAAGAAATATAGTAGGCCTCTATAGTGTTAGAGTGCTGGTGTGGAACAAGGATTCAAAAAGTTCAAAATATCCTGTTTGTATTCCTGTGTGTGGAACATTGCTTTTAAGAAACTCGTTATAGAACCATTCTCTGTAAAGTAAAGCCTGCCAGTTTACTGAAACCAATACGCATCTTTACTGTTTAAGAACCAAATAACTTATTTCTTGTTTTATTTCACCCGAAGACTTTTCTTGAACATTCTAGTGACGGAAGTGGGCTATGAATCAATAAATGGTGGCAGCAAGAGAAATCTTAATTAATAATTAATTGATGGCAGCAAGGGAATATATAATATACAGTGGTAGCCACCCACTGTCCTGTCTTGTGTGCTTGTGTGTGGGGGTCCTTTGTCCCTCATGGCCTTGGGTGGGCTATCTGACATCCAGTCATTATTCTAATGAGACATTCAATTCATTGAAAAATTATTGCTGCTGATTTTATCATTGTACTTTTTTAAAACTTAATAAAATATTTATTAAAAAAAGAAAATTAGTCAGAGGAATAAGTTGAAGATAGTTCAAAATCTGTTTTATGTAGGAATGTAACAGTCCTTTTAGAGAAAAGGAAAAGGTTGAATGAAAGTTATACTGAAACATTGTTCTGTAACCACCAAGCATTTGTACCTTTGTAACCATTACGCTCTTGCCTCAAAATGCTACAAATAAAACAGAGTTACTGTTTCATTTTTTTAAAAAAGAAAAATTATTGCAAAGATGTGCTATAGGAGGATGTCCCACCAAAACATAAACTTTTCCCATGTTTTTACGACAGAAGCAATTATTCATTTATTTATTTACAGTGTTCCCTTGCCACTTCATGGTTCGCTTACCGGGGACTCGCTTTTTCACGTTTTTTTCTGAGCGGCCCCCGAGGTTTTCCCTGCGTGGCCCCCGAGGCGAGCCCAGCTCCCCCACATCCATTCTCCTTCTCCTCACCTCCTCCTCCTCACCTTCCCTCCCTCCCTCCTTGCCTTCCTTCTGCTGCCATGGTGCCAGAGAGGGCTTCTTCTTCCCAGCCGCTCCCTCGGCGGTGGGAGAAGTTCCAGTGGGGTGGCCAGCCAATGGTAAGCAGACCCTGCTCTCCCTCGATTGGCTGGGCTGGCCACCCTCATGAGCTCCGGGCCACCTTCAAAAGGGCTGCAGAAGGCCATGCCAGACAGCATGCTTTCCCTGTGTCCAGCACTGGTTTCTCCGGCTGAGGCTGGAAGTGGGTTTGTTAATGTTACAATTAATATAGTGTCCCTACTTTGCGGATTTTCACTTATCGTGGGTTTCTCCGGCAGCGGCTGGAAGAGGGTTTGTTAATATTACAATTAATATAGTGTCCCTACTTTGCGGATTTTCACTTATTGCGGGTTTCTCCGGCTGAGGCTGGAAGCGGGTTTGTTAATATTACAATTAATATAGTGTCCCTACTTCGCGGATTTTCACTTATCGCGGGTTTCTCCGGCAGTGGCTGGAAGCGGGTTTGTTAATGTTACAATTAATATAGTGTCCCTACTTTGCAGATTTTCACTTATCACGGGTTTCTCCGGCCGCTGGAAGCGGGTTTCTCCGGCAGCTGGAAGCGGGTTTGTTAATATTACAATTAATATAGTGTCCCTACTTTGCGGATTTTCACTTATCGCGGGTTTCTCCGGCAGCTGGAAGCGGGTTTGTTAATGTTACAATTAATATAGTGTCCCTACTTTGCGGATTTTCACTTATCGCGGGTTTCTCCGGCAGCGGCTGGAAGAGGGTTTGTTATTGTTACAATTAATATAGTGTCCCTACTTTGCGGATTTTCACTTATCGCGGGTTTCTCCGACCGCTGGAAGCGGGTTTCTCCGGCAGCTGGAAGCGGGTTTGTTAATGTTACAATTAGTATTGTGTCCCTATTTTGCGGATTTTCACTTATCGCAGGTTTCTCCGACAGCGGCTGGAAGCGGGTTTGTTAATGTTACAATTAATATAGTGTCCCTACTTTGTGGATTTTCACTTATRGCGGGTTTCTCCYGCAGCGGCTGGAAGAGGATTTGTTAATGTTACAATTAATATAGTGTCCCTACTTTGTGGATTTTCACTTATCGCGGGTTTCTCCAGCAGCGGCTGGAAGAGGATTWGTTAATGTTACAATTAATATAGTGTCCCTACTTTGTGGATTTTCACTTATTGCGGGTTTCTCCGGCAGCGGCTGCAAGCAGGTTTATTAATATTACAATTAATATAGTGTCCCTACATCGCGMATTTTCACTTATTGCGGGTCGTCCTGTAACGTAACCCCTCCAATAAGTGAGGGAACCCTGTATTACGGAGATTTCTTTGCCCTCTTTCTCCAGAACGGACCCAGGGCGGCTCACATCATATTAAAAATATACATACAAATAATTACAAACGATAACTAAACAAGTATTAGAGATTCAATAAATCCTTAAAAAACTTTCTGCATTATTAAACATTAAACGTTAAAATCAGTCTTGAAAATTGACATTGATAACCCAAAAATCATGTTGCCTAGTGTCATGGTCGCAATTTCGCAGAAACGCCTTCTCTGTCTTCCATCTGTAAGGAAATACTTGGCTCATCCTCTTCCCTTCTCCTTGCAGCATCCTTCCGCAGGCCGCCCTCGAGGAAATCCACAAGTTCTCTGGGAGCTACACCTGCATGAACACTTTCAAAGGGCGCTCTTAGACGCCACGAATGGACAGAACGGCATCTTGGGAAGAGCGTCGGCAGGCCAGCCATCTTGCCACACCGCAATGGGAGTCATGGCAATGCGGACAAAACGGCTTGCTCGCAGTGAGGCCTTCAAACCGTGGGGCACTTTGGGGTCTAATCCTTTAGGAACGGAACACTTCCGTTTGCAACGTGTTTCCCGACGTATGGCAAATGGGGCCTGTCACGGATCTAGACCAGAAATGGGTCTTTCGGGAGTTTGGGAATGTCTGCTTCTCTTTCTTCTTAAAAGCTTATATGGGAAGATCTGCAAAATTCATATCTGCTTCCCCGTTGTACGTGACTACATATCCCATATTCGCACATCTTTGCAGCTCCTACACAATGGAAAATGACTCTTTTGTGCGTGGACGCAGTGGGTTTGTGGGTACAGGAGACATACAGTTGGCCTCCCCGTTATCCGGGATCGGACATAGGATGTGCATCGGATTCCACTGAAATGGGGGCTGTGCTTGATTTCAAGGGGTCTCCTCTAAGTCTGGATCCAGTCCTTAGGTCTGTGGAGCTCTTACGTCGGAGACAATTGGGTCGCAATGCAAAATGGGTCTTTGTAATGCTGTTCAATGGATTCTGGGTTCCTTCGACCTCAAGCATAAAGTACTCCAAAACCTATCATCTCGACTGCCGAGGGCTTAATATGCACATTCTTTTGGGTGTCAAGAGACCTTCTCTTTTCTATGGAATGGCAAGTTATGCTCGATTTGTCTCTGACGGGCAGTTGGTGGATGGTTGCATTTGTGGGAATTGTCAGGAATGAGGCCTTCATGTCAAACGCAGATGAATAAATCCTTCCAGGAAGACGTCCTGGAGGAGTCTAAAGCTTGTTTGGCTTTCTTTTCTTGCTGCCATTTAGTATATAATTCCTCCAGACAAGCACAAACCCGTTGGATGGTTGAAGCTGATATAAAGGGTTCGCCAAACAATGCCAACATTGTCTCCGAGTCGACTTGTTTCCTCCAAAAATGCAGGTCACAGCCCAAGTATTCAACGTAGTATTGAATGTCGGGCGTTTCCGCGAAATTGGGACCATCACACAATGCAACACAGATTTTTGTTCCTGGGTGATCAATGTCATTTCCTAATTGGGTCTATCATAAAAACATGGGAAAAGTGGATTAAACTGCACGAACCTTGTTTTGGTGGGATGTCCCGCTACAGCACATTTTGCTCGTTTTTCGATACGAATCTCATCATAGACCAGTGTTTCTTCACCTTTATAATACCACGACCCCTTAATAGAGTTCCTCATGTTGTGGTGACCCCCAACCAAGTCTCTACGACAGCATTTCTCAACCTGGGGATCGGGACCCCTGGAAGGGTCTCAAGGGGGTTTCAGAGGTTCCTAATGCCGTGACCCCTTAATAGAGTTCCTCATGTTGTGGTGACCCCCAACCAAGTCTCTAGGACACTATTTCTCAACCTGGAGGGGTCTCAAGGGGGTTTCAGAGGTTCCTAATTCTGCGACCCCTTAATAGAGTTCCTCATGTTGTGGTGACCCCCAACCAAGTCTCTACGACAGCATTTCTCAACCTGGGGGTCGGGACCCCTGGAGGGGTCTCAAAGGGGTTTCAGAGGTTCCTAACGCCATGACCCCTTAATAGAGTTCCTTATGTTGTGGTGACCTCCAACCAAGTCTCTATGACATCATTTCTCAACCTGCGGGTCGGGATCCCTGGAGGGATCTCAAAGGGGTTTCAGAGGTTCCTAATGCTGCGACCCCTTAATAGAGTTCCTCATGTTGTGGTGACCCCCAACCAAGTCTCTATGACAGCATTTCTCAACCTGGGGGTCGGGACCCTAGGAAGGGTCTCAAAGGGGTTTCAGAGGTTCCTAATGCCGCGACCCCTTAATAGAATTCCTCATGTTGTGGTGACCCCCAACCAAGTCTCTAGGACAGTATTTCTCAACATAGAGGGGTCTCAAGGGGGTTTCAGAGGTCCCTAATGCCGCGACTCCTTACTAGAGTTCCTCATGTTGTGATGACCCCCAACCAAGTCTCTAGGACAGTATTTCTCAAACTGGGGGTCGGGACCCCTGGAGGGGTCTCAAAGGGGTTTCAGAGGTTCCTAATGCTGTGACCCCTTAATAGAGTTCCTCATGTTGTGGTGACCCCCAACCATCATATTATTTTTGTTGCCTCTTTCTTAACTGTTATTTTGCTCCTGTTATGAATCGTCATGTAAATATCTGATATGCAGAATGTATTTTCATTCACTGGACCAAATTTGGCACAAGTACCCAATACGCCCAAATCTGAATACCAATGGGGTTGCAGCGCATTGATTTTGTCACTTGGGAGTTGTAGTTGCTGGGATTTATAGTGCACCTACAATCAAAGAGTACTCTGAACTCTACCAAATGATGGAATTGAACCAAACTTGACACACGGAACTCCCATGACCAACAGAAGACACTAGAAGAGTTTGGTGGGCCTTGACCTTGAGTTTGGGAGTTGTAGTTCACTGAAATTCAAAGAGCACTGTGGACTCAAACAATGATGGATCTGGACCAAACTTGGCACAGGTACTCAATATGCCCAAATGTGAACACTGGTGGAGTTTGGGGGAAATAGACCTTGACATTTGAGAGTTGTATCTACTGGGATTTATAGTCCACCTAGAATCAAGGAACACTCTGAACTCCGCCAATGCTGGAATTGAACCAGACTTGGCACACAGAACTCCCATGACCAACAGAAAATACTGGAAAGGTTTGGTGCGCATTGACCTTGAGTTTGGGAGTTGCGGTTTACTACATCCAGAGAGCACTGTGATGGATCTGGACCAAATTTGGCAGGAATACTCAATATGCCCAAATGTAAACACTAGGCTTGGTGGGCTTTGCGAGGTGGGTGTGGCTACGCCCAGCTCTTCCGCATCACCGCTTGTTGCCAGGGAGGTAGCCACGGCCACCTCGTAAAGCCCACCTCGCAAAGCCGCCGATGCAAAGAGGAAGGAGGTGGGAGTGGGTAAGAATAGCTGTTCCTGAAGGCCACGCCCCCAGCATTTACGATTCACTGGCGGAAGTCATAAGGAAGATGGCGGACGCGGCTTCTATATGGCAAAAACACTTCCGGGTTGCCAAAACGCGTCGATATCGCTTCAAAAGGTAATTTATTTACGATTTCATTACGAGTTAAGAAACTTACGACTTATAGAATCATAGAATCATAGAATCAAAGAGTTGGGAGAGACCTCATGGGCCATCCAGTCCAACCCCATTCTGCCAAGAAGCAGGAATATTGCATTCAAATCACCCCTGACAGATGGCCATCCAGCCTCTGTTTAAAAGCTTCCAAAGAAGGAGCCTCCACCACACTCGGGGCAGAGAGTTCCACTGCTGAACGGCTCTCACAGTCAGGAAGTTCTTCCTCATGTTCAGATGGAATCTCCTCTCTTGTAGTTTTAAGCCATTGTTCCGCATCCTAGTCTCCAAGGAAGCAGAAAACAAGCTTGCTCCTCCTCCTCCCTGTGGCTTCCTCTCACATATTACATGGCTATCATATCCCCTCTCAGCCTTCTCTTCTTCAGGCTAAACATGCCCAGCTCCTTAAGCCGCTCCTCATAGGGCTTGTTCTCCAGACCTTTTATCATTTTAGTCGCTCTCCCTGGACACATTCCAGCTTGCCAATATCTCTCTTGAATTGTGGTGCCCAGAATTGGACACAATATTCCAGTGTGGTCTAACCAAAACAGAATAGAGGGGTAGCATTACTTCCCTAGATCTAAACACTATGCTCCTATTGATGCAGGCCAAAATCCCATTGGCTTTTTTTGCCGCCACATCACATTGTTGGCTCATGTTTAACTTGTTGTCCACGAGGACTCCAAGATCTTTTGGATCAACCAACTTAGATCAACCAACCCTAGTGAACACTGGTGGAGTTCGGAGGAAAATAGACCTTGACATTTCAGAATTGTAAAAGGTAAAGGTAGTCCCCTGACATTAAGTCCAGTCATGTCTGACTCTGGGGTGTGGTGCTCATCTCCATTTCTAAGCCGAAGAGCCAGCGTTGTCCATAGACACCTCCAAGGTCATGTGGCCGGCATGACTGCATGGAGCGCTGTTACCTTCCCGCCGGAGCGGTACCTATTGATCTACTCACATTTGCATGTTTTCGAACTGCTAGGTTGGCATAAGCTAGGGCTGACAGCAGAAGCTCACGCCGCTCCCCGGAATCGAACCTGCGACCTTTAAGTAAACAAGCTCAGCAGCTCAGTGCTTTAACCCACTGCGCCACCGGGGGCTCTCAGAATTGTAGTTGCTGGGATTTATAGTCTACCTACAATCATAGAGCCTTCTGAACCCCACCAAGGATTGAATTGGAATAACCCTTTCAAACTAGGAACAGAACATTTTGCAAATTTTGTGACATTGTGTAATCTGCCGTCAATGATGCTCTGAAACCACATTCTGCATTGGAAAGCATGTTAGGTCCTTGCCGGATGAATCCTTGGAGGGATTTCCAGATTTCTATTTTGTTTCGTTCTGCTTCACTCTACTTGAGAAATATATATGTATGTGTGTTTGTACATATATATCTCTCTCTCACAAAAATCCCCAAAAAGAGAACGCTCCCTCATTTGCGCAATAGCGTAACGGCACCATCTTGCAGCCAGATGTCAACCACATCTGGAAGAGATTGGCGCCAAGGGGTTTTTATGTTGATTGCTTCTCTGGGAGAGAAAGAAAGGCAAGACGAAGTGCCCGACTGTGTATACGAGCAAGAGGGAGAGTGCTCGGGTGTCTTGGTTCAATTGTGCAAGAGTGCCATTCAGTGCAGGCGCTGCACGATGTCATGTCTGTTCGCCACGAATGCATCACTATATATGTTCAAGATTTCCAACATAGGATCTTGGGAAAATTACACATGTTGCGATATTGCAAGTGTAACACTACGTAACAAAATTTGCTATAATGATATAATAATAAAGACAAAAAAATCCAATGAAGACAAAAATGCGCTGCAGCACGATGTTGACTTCGTCTGCGTTTCCGGCCTCCGGGAACAGTGGAAACATTGACATGCCACACAAGGTTTTGTGGTTGGGCATGCCTTCCATTGGTCGCAAAGCACGGTGTGTGTTGGGGCCCCAGGTATCCATCCAGTTCTTTCCTCCGAAATCTATTTCGTTTGGAAAGTCTGGCAGGCAGGCCAGCAGCCTGGACGGCCTCCAGCGCTTTGGGGAGATGGAAATAGAAACACACTCTGTGCTTACGATAATAACAGCCGCGGCCTGTTCCTGCCTGCACCAGGCCAACAGCAAGCTGCATTCGTTTCCCCAGCTCTCTTTCTTTAAGCGAGGCTTGTCCAACCCTCGTCCCGTGGTTTTCCACATTGCACCATTTTTGCTGAAACCAGAGGCGGTCCTGGGTAATTTTCAACGATAAGCAAACAGTATTTGGCACACACACACACCCCAACCAATCATTGATATATATTTTCTGTTCGTCAAGAGCGCCATTTGTTGAGGAGTTATAAAGGTCCATTCAATGCTAAGGCTTCCCACCGAAATGGAACTATAGAGGAGAGTCTACTGAACAAGCCAGTACATGCCGCATTCCAGTACTGCCGTTTGTTGAGGAGTTACAAAGGTCGTTCAATGTTGAGGCTTCCCACCACAATGGAACTATACAGGAGAGTCTACTTAACAAGCCAGTACATGCTGCATACCAGGACTGCCATTTGTTGAGGAGTTACAAAGGTCCATTCAATGCTAAGGCTTCCCACCAAAATGGAACTGTAGAGAAAGTACCTGCCGCATACCATGACTGCCATCTTTTGCGGAGTTGCGAATGTGGAGGCATTATTTTTCATT